CTGCATCCACTGCATACACACAAAAAAAGGATTTTTTTTTTTTTTTTTTAAAGCGTCGAAAAAAGAGAAAAAGAAAAGCGGCGAAAATGGGGGGGGGGAAAAAGAATTATAAGTATCCCGAGTTGAAAATGTTACCTACCTCTAGGCTACCATTCGGGCTGCCCGGGTCACCCTGTTTTCCCGGGCGGCCCGGCCGTGCAAGGACCAGGGAAGGTCCCAGAAAAAAAAAAAAAACTATGTTATGCAGAAAAATAAACTGAGCAACTTTTGCCTCAGGGCCACAAAATTAAAAAATATATATATATATATTTTTTAACACTTTCTTTTTTTTTTTGGCCCGGCCGGGCAAGTGGTCCCCGGCCACTCTGGTACTAGCCTGGATCTACCTTCAATTACGGAAATAATGCATCCATCGCATACACAAAAAAAAGGATCTTTTTTTAAAATCGATGAGATAAAAGGAAAGGCACTGGATCTACCTTCAATTACGGAAATAATGCATCCATCGCATACACAAAAAGAAGGATCTTTTTGTAAAAATCGACGAGATAAAAGGAAAGGTAAAACGGAAATGAAAGAGAAAAGAGAAAGGAATTGGAAGCTGAAAGCGTCAAAAAAAAAAAAAAAAAAAAAAAAAACCGGAAATATAAAATATAAGTGTGACGAACGATCGATCGGGGGCAATGTCCCACTAACAGCGATGGGTTTCCTCAACGCCTGAATCTGGGCGTGTTTGTGGAGATGTGCCTCTTCTTCTTTTTTTTTTCCCTCCCTCTCTGCCTCCGGCTTACTTCACAGCTCTGTTTCACGATATATATCATCACATGAATATGAGAGCGCAAAAGCGAAAAAAAGAAAAAAGAAAAAAGAATGAATATATATCTATATGTACATATCGTCATACGAAACTGCCCAGTATATATCGAAGTCAAACAGAGGAGCTGCCCGGGGAGCCGTAGGCAGAGAGGGAGGGGGGAAAAAAAAAAGAACAGGACAACAAACGAAGGGGGGGGGTTGTGACAAACTGTTTCGTCGGAGTTTCGCCGACTGACTCATCTGAAGGCTGAACAGAAGGCTGAACCCTGTGTACATATATCGTCACAAAGATATGAGAGCGCAGAGAGGGAGGGAGAAGTGGAGAACAAACGAAGGGGGGGGGGGGGGGGGGGGAAAAAGTTTTTGGGGAAATTTAAACAAAAAAAAAAAAATTTAAAAAAAAAAAAAAAAAAAAAAAAAAAAAAAAAAGTTCAGATA